CAGAGTAGAACTGCCCCATAGAGTTTCCAAGGCTGTAATCTGTATGGAAGCAGACTGCCACATCTTTCTCCTGAGGAGCAGCGGGTGGGTTCGAATTGCCAACTTCCATTAGCAGCTGAGCACTTGAACCTCTGTGCCACCAAGGCACCTACCCCGCAAGCACAGAGTTTAGGATTTACAACACATATTTTTGGGGGGCACAATTGAATCCGTAACAAATACCCTTCAGAAAGGTTGTACCAATTAATACTCCCACCAGCAGTAAGAGCTGGTTTTGGTCAGTCCATGTCATGATAGGAGTAATGATAAAAGCAAGATTTTGGTTTCTGTGATTCTGGCAATGAAATAATCCATTTGCCTTAAAACAACAAAAAACAGAAGTAAAACGTTGAATCCTCCATCAGTGACATATGGTTTTAATAGATTCTGCTGCTTTTAAACACATTGGAGTATTAAAAAAAAGATTAGGAGGGCTGAATCGAGAAGTTCTACATTTCCTTCTTTACATCTCCTTCCAGTGGGTTCCGGGCACTTGTGGTTGCTCAACAATCCCATTAATTTAAGCTTGAGACCTGGAGAAGTTACCTTTTAAATACAATCCAGGCCTTTGCTGTGATGCCAGGGCTCAGACTGAGGACTTCCATCCTGAAGGCCCTTTTTCTGGGGCCCCAGGTCCTTAGGCCTGGGGGGACTGGGTGGGAGAGGTCCAGTTTTAAGGGTCTCAGGTCTGACAGTCTCAGCTTCTGAGGCTTGACTTGGGAGTTCTGTGCCTAAGGGTTCCTGGATCCCATGGCTCAGGGCACGGCGTCTTCGGATCTGAGGCTAGAGGTGATGGCCCAGGATGGAGTGTTCCCGGGTCCGAGAGCTGGTGCCAGGAGCACCGAGTCTGCGCTGTGACTGCGAGGGGCTGGGAGGCTCGGGCCCAGGACCGCGATCAGGCGGAAGTTGTCGCTAGGGACCCGCGGGCTGCCCTTTTTTGGTACGTTGGTGCTAGGACCCGGCGGCAGGCGGAGGAGCGTAAAACGGCCAGTGTTGACAGCGGCGGCTGGGGAAGTAGCGGCGCTAGGACCCCGCGGGCCCGGCAGGCAGCGGGGGTGCCTGTCGACAGCAGTGGTGCTGGAATGGTTGGCGCTAGGACCCCGCTGGCCCGGCTGGCGGCGGCGGCGCGTGGGGCGGCGCGTGTTGACAGCGGCGGCGGCGGCGGAGCCGGGCGGGCGGCGGGAGTAGGCACCTCCGGTCCTGCCTCTGGTCCCGAGGCGGCGGTGGCCCGGCGGCCCGGGATGGCCTTCATGGAGAAGCCGCCGGCCGGCAAGGTGCTGCTGGACGACACGGTGCCGCTGACAGCAGCCAT